CCCAAAGAAACATGTGGGGAAACATCAAGGTTCCGCCTGGGACATTATCCAAACTTTTCCCTTTCCCCCTTCTTGTTTTCTGCCCGGTGTCTCAGACGAAGAACATTGATTTGTTATACTCATTTATTTAATCATCAAGGTTTCGCTTGAGACATCGAGCAGAAAGGAACGATGGGATATTGTTGTTCGAACGATATCTCAAGTGAGACCCTGAGGTTTGAAACATTCTGCATACAAATCAAGGTTTCGCTTGAGACATCTGGTAAACATTGAAGGTGGAACATTACTTTCTCATCGATGTCTCAAGCGAAGCCTTGCCGTTGCAAATCCCTTTGGTTTTGGGTTGTCTGGGAAATCCCACGCCCGGAAATCGTCCAGCCAACGAACAAATCCCAGAGGATGTTCTAGACATCGAGGTTTCGCTTGGGACATCCTCCAAACTTTTGCCTTCCCACCATAGTTTGTTTTTGCCCAGTGTCTCAGGCGAAACCTTGATGTGTCATACAGACTGCTTCGAACATCAAGGTTTTGCTTGAGACATCGATCAAGAAGGAATGATGAGAGTTTGACATGTTGACTATGTCTCAAGCGAGAGCTATATAATTCATGATTTGTCTTATAAAGCTGGGGACATCGGGCCACAATTGAAGATGTGAGGTTAATTGTTCAACGATGTGCCAAGCGAAACCTTCGTTTTACAAATTCCTTTGGTTCGGGGTTTCCTGGAAATCCCAGGCTCGGAGAAAGTCCGCTCCCCCCCAGGAAAAAATCCGGAGGATATTCTAAAAAGCAAGGTTTCGTTCGGGACATCCTCCAAACTGTTGCTTTTACCCTATTGCTTTTTTGCCCAGTGTCCCAGGCGAAACCTGGATGTTTGTAAACATCGCTTCAAAAAGCAAGGTTTCGCCTGAGACATCGGGCAAAAAGTGATGATGAAATATTGTTTTTTGGACGATGTCTCAATCGAAGCCCGGATTGGCTTGATTCCATTTTTTAAATTTTTTTGAGAACCCCAGCCCCAGAAAAAGGCAGACAAAACAAATCCATCGCATTTTCTAAAAATCAAGGTTTCGCCTGGGACATCTTCCAATTGTTTTTACCCTATTACTTTTTGCCCGATGCCCCAAGCAAAATCTGGATCTCTATAAATATCGCTTCAAAATTCAAGGCTTCGCTTGAGACAGGGGGGAACAACTGATGACAGAAGGCTGCTTTTTGGAGGATGTCTCAAGCCAAATTTGGATTGAATTCCTTATGTTTTTAATTATTTGAGAATCCCAGGCCCTGAGAAAGTCCGCCCCCCCAAAAAAACATAATCCGGAGACAAATCAAGGTTTCGCTTGGGACATCCTCCAAACTTTTGCTTTTACCCTATCGCTTGTTGCCTGATGTCGCGAGCGAAACCTGGATCTTCATGATGAGTAATCTTTATACAAATCGAGGTTTCGCTGGGGGCATCGGGCAAGAAGCAATAAGGTAAAAACAATGATTTGGAGGATGTCCCAGGCGAAACCTTGATTTTTTTTTGAAATTCTCAGTTTTTATTAGTGGGGGGAGGGGGGCCGGACTCTCTCTGGGCTTGGGATTTTCAAATCATATGATTCCGGAGAAAAACTCCCATCAGGGCTATAGGGCTAGGGGGCTATAGGGCTATACGGCTATTGAGCTATAGGGCTATAGAGCTATAGGGCTATAGAGTTGTAGGGCTATAGGGCCATTGGGCTATTGGGCTGGCTATAGGCACCCCCGGGCACCCCCAGGCACCCCCATGCACGCCCAGGCACCCGGGCACCCGGGCACCCGGGCACCCGCGGGCACCCGTGGGCACCCAGGCACCCGGGCGTGCCGCGAAAATCGGCGGCAAACCTAATTTAACCTGATGAATATTGAGCTATAGGGCTATCGAGCTATAGGTCTATAGAGTTGTAGGGCTATAGGGCTATAGGGCTATATGGCACCCCCGGGCACCCCCCTGGCCCAGGCACCCCCGGGCACGCCCGGGCACCAGGGCACCCCCAGGCACGCCCGGGCACCCGCGGGCACCCGGGCCCCCGGGCCCCCCCGGGCACCCCGGGGCACCCAGGCACCCCTGGGCACCAGGGCACCCGGGCGTGCCGCGAAAATCGGCGGCGAGCTTAACCTAACCATATGAATCCGCTAGGATCCCTACAGAGGCAAGCTATGATTGGGGAATATTGAGCTATATAGGGCTATAGAGCTATAGGTCTAGAGAGCTGTAGGGCTATAGGGGTATTGGGCTATAGGGCTATAGGGCCCCCCCAGGCACCCACCGGGCACGCCCGGGCACCAGGGCACCCGGGCACCAGGGCACCCCCAGGCACGCCCGGGCACCCGCGGGCACCCGGGCACCCCCGGGCACCCCCGGGCACCCAGGCCCCCCCGGGCACCCGGGCACCCGGGCGTGCCGCGAAAATCGGCGGCGAGCCTAACCTAACCATATGAATCCGCTAGGACCCCTACAGAGGCAAGCTCTGATTGGGGAATATATATATATATACACAGATATATAGATAGATAGATAGATAGATAGATCGATAGATAGATAGATAGATAGATAGATAGATAGATAGATAGATAGATAGATATACAGATATATATATATATATATATAGTTATACATACATATATACATATACATACATATAAACACATAGATGTTGTGTAAACTCTAAACATATACATAAGGAATTGACTGACTCCAGGTTTCTTTTGAGACATCCTCCAACCATCATCACTTGTTGCCCGATGTCTTAAGCGAAACCTTGATGTTTGAAGCAATATTTATAGACATCCAGGTTTCGCCTGGGACATCTGGCAAAACGCAATAGGGTAAAAACAAAAGTTTGGAGGATGTCCCAGGCGACATGTTTAACAATATTTAAAGCAGAGGAAAGAAATTCGCGGGAATTGTTTCGTTCGTTCTTTTTGTCTGGACTTTCTTTTGGCCTGGGATTTTCAGACAATTGAAAACATAGGGAATGAAACGAATCATAATTTCGCTTGAGACATCAAATTCAATAGATAATCTCCGATAAGAGGAACCAATCAGAAAATCCCCCGCATCGGGCTTCAAACAGTATCCCTCCGATGAAAGGATGTAAGTAGTAAATCCTCACATGCGTATTCAATCAGTGAATATTCCACACCAGAAATGTAGTAAATCGTTGACACCATGATTTTAATACACGTGTAACAACTGAATCGTTTAATCATCAGTTAAGACATCATTATCCGAATTCTTATTCAATGAACTCTCTGATTGGGTCTTTTTAGTATCGCAGTAGTCTTTGTCCAATCTTCAACAGCCAATGTGAAAACTCAAAAGGGGGATATCGAAAAACCGTCTTTTCCGCCCTGGCCTTCATACAGGCTCCAGTCGGAGGAGGAGGAGGAGCAGGAGGATGAGGAGGAGGATGTGGAAGAGAAGGACGGGGAGGGATTGGAGGAGGAGGCGGAGGATGAGCAGGCGAAGGAGGAGGAGGTGGAGGAGGAGGAAGGAGAGGAGGAGGGGGAGGAGCAGGAGGAGGAGCAGGAGCAGGAGCAGGAGCAGGAGCAGGAGCAGAATCAGGAGCAGGAGCAGGAGCAGGAGGAAGGGAGGGACGGTCCAACATGCGGCTGGCACGCGTGCGTTTGGCACGCGCTTTCACGCGCGTGGGCGCCACGGCACCGATGCAGGCGGGGTGTCCAATCCGGTGGGTTCTCCACACTTGAAGGGACGCGCGGGGACGGGGACGCATCCAGCATCTAGGCCTCCCAAATGCGGTCCGAGGAGATGGGGTAGGAGGATCGCGCCGCCGATGCATCGGCGATGCGGCGCGATGTGGAGCTAGTTTTTTTCCGCCCCGACGTCACCGATGCATCGATTCGGCGATGCGGCGCGATTCTCCGACCCCATCTACTCGGACCCCATATGGAAGGCCTCTACAACGTGCGGTCGGCGCACCTGCATCTGGCACGTGCTTTCACTTGTGTAGACGCTGGTGGGGGTATCCAACGTGCTGGGGGATTCGTCGCGTGAAAAAATACGTGCGTGAAGGGGGGTGTCCACTACGCGTTCAACACTCGTACATTTGACAGGAATTGTCACGCGCATGCCCCCCCCCAGGGGGATGCGACGGGTGGTCTAGAGATGCGTGCGAACATGAAGTATTTAACCCAGCTGCCTGCGGCAATTCCGTCACCGTGCTAGCTCAGCACCTCGGGTGGCGATTGTTCAGACGGCACACAAGAGGCCGTAAGGTTTGACACCTGACACTTCGTGCCCCAAGGCTTGGGAGAACCGTAACATGTAACGCTCTTCCGCGTCGTGTCTGGGGCTCTGTTCTGGTCTCCTCGGTCCTCCTCCCGTGCTTTCCTCCTTTCCTTCCACCTCACGCTTTCCTCCTTCTCCTCCACCTTCTCGTGTTTCCCCCATTCTCTCTCATCCGCCTTATCGTGCTTTCCTCCTTTTTCAGCTTCTCCATACTCTTCAAAGATCAGACCCCGAGCTGACCAGAGTTTCGAGGGGAATGCAGCCATGCCGACGAGACGCCTCCCCGGAGTTCCACAAAACCATCTTCGATCAGACGGAAGGGGGGATAGGGAAAGGCAGAGTTTTACAACCTTTGATGCACACCGCCGCTGGCTTCGGCCGTGCCGCCGGGCGCCCTCCTCGGCGCGCTGCCGCCCCCGGAGCCAGAAGGCGCCAGGAAGACCAGCCGCGTGAGCTGATTCGCTAACCCCCTCTCCTCCTCCTCCTCCTCCTCCTCCTCCTCCTCCTCCTCCTCCTCCTCCTCCTCCTCCTCATTTTTCTAAATGAACTGCCCCTGCGTCCGACCCCATCCTCCTCCGCCGCCGCTGCCGGCCCGCCGCGCTCTCCTCCGTCCTCCGCCGTCCGGCCGGCGCGCCGCGATATCCGTCCTCCATCCTCCTCCGTCCTCCCCCGTCCTGCGTCGGCCTCATCTTCCTCCGCCGCCGTCGGCCCGCCGCTGTCCCCCCAGGATCGTCACGGGCATGTCCTGCGGCGTCTGCGTCTCCGTGGATGGCCCGCGCGACATGAAGCCCGAGGCCTTCGTGTGCAACGTCGGCCACATAGACACGGACTGCGACGACTGGCGAGGGGAGGAGGAGCAGGAGTGGGGCAGCATAACATTACATGAGCCCAAACTTTCGGAGGTCCGCGCAGATTTCTCGGATCGGCGCTGGAGCCCCCTGGCGCCAGGGAGGGGGGGGGGTCCAGCGCCGATTCACGAAGTCAGCGAGGGAGCGGAGAGGGCGAGGAGAGCGGAGGGGAAGGAGGGAGGGCATCACGAATAGGCTCAGGGGGGGATGCGCCGACTCCCGATTGCCCATTCATCTCCGATAGGGGTCTGACGGCCCACCCCGCTCAGGAACGCGCGGGCTCGCTATCGAAGGCATATCGCCGATCTATCGGCGAGGTCTCGCCGATTCGAGGTCGATGTTTCCCCTCCTGAGCAGGTCTCCCCCTGACGTTGTCCCTCTGAGCAGGAAGTAGGAGGGCAGCTCTGGCTCCGGCCGTTTGGGGGAGCAGGTCTCCGAGACAGGGGTGCAGGCTTCGGCCAGGCTGCCTCGCCCTTCCTCTCTTTGCTTGCTTCTCCCATGGCGGCACCGCTAGAAAAGTTTGGGACCTTGGCGAGGCTTGCAAGTTGTGGCGAGAACCACATTGGGAAAACAGGAGCGCCACCGACGATTATGCTTCGCCAGCCGACACGCTACCCCTAGCACGTTCAGCAGCGACTCGGCTGCAGCGGCATCTTGCGGTCCCACTCATTGTGCCGGACAAGAGAAGAGCAAGATGGGCGGTCAAGTCGGAGTCATCAATGCAAATGGTAATTTCGGTGGCAATTCAGAGCACAATTGGACATGTCCAGGTTCGTGTGCGAACCTCTTGAGTTGTTATGAGTGTTGTTACAACGCTCGTTTGGTCTTGCTCTGAACGGGTGTACCCTCTTGGCTCTTCATCGGGTGGCGGCACCTTTTGAGAACGCTTCTTCATTCGATTGGATCAAAGACATGCTGAATCAGCCCTGTCAGAGGGACGCCGCCACGAAGTGGAGCCCCCCACGGGAGCCGGTGGCGTCATCGCCAGGCGGCTGCGTCCAGTGCGCAGGCATTCGCGCAGGGAGCTGTTTTTCCCCACAAGTCGTTGCCTGAGCGACTCGCTGCCACGCGGAGAGCTGTCGCAGTTGGCAGTCCCCCTTCCCTGCCAAGGGCCCCTCTCCTTCTCCCTTCCCCTCCTTCCCCTCCTCCTCGTCGTCGTCGTCCTCCTCCTCCTCCTCCTCCTCCTCCTCCTGCTCCTCCTCCTCCTCCTCCTCCTCCTCCTCCTCCTCCTCCTCAGTAAGTCAGGGCGACCTCCCGAGGCCATCCCCCATCGGTAGGGGCTCAAATCTCCGTGCCCTGCGCGCCGCCCAGTTGGGCCCCACTGCAAGGCGGGCCGCCTTTCCGTTGTCGCCCGCGGCCCATCTTCTCTCTGGTCCGCCGTACACCTTAGGCGATGCTTAAGACAACCTAAGTTTTCGTCCAGAGTCTCGATTATTCTTAACTTTCCGATGCAAATCCCAAGATTTTGATAGGAGTTCGGGGTCTGTAGTCAGATCATGAGGCTATGAATTTCTTAACCCATGATTTCTTAAGCATTTCGCAGGGTGTATCTTTGTGCAGCAGATCTCGGCTTGCCGCTTCGCGTGACGAAGAGTAGTGGCACTGGGCCAGGGTCCCCCGCGAGGGTCTTGGCTGCTCCGACACGCGGGGGGGCCACCAGCCCAGGAGCCATCTTTTACTTGAGCCGTTGCAGCTGTCTGCTCAAGCATCGCTCTTCTCCTTCGGGCCGACATCCAGGGACATCTTCTCAGGCGAGGGCCCCGATCGAACACCCGAGTAAACCCTAGATTTAGGTACCTGACCTGGCCCAGGGCCCCCTTCGAGAATCCTGGTCGCCGTGGTGCGGCCACTAGCTCATGCTCGCCTTTTCTTCGCGCAGGCGATCCCAGGCCGTTCAGGATATTTTGTGATTCTGAGTGCGACTTTGCTCGGTTCATGGAATCGCTATCCTGATGTCGCATCATGTCCACTATTCCCACTATGGGTTTTTGCCGTTCTGCACTATCACGTTACGCGCAAGCTGTCTCAGGCAATTTGGGAGTTTCTCCGGGGACTTCAGAGTGCGACGTTGTCTGGGTTTGGGAGCCGGTGTCGCTCCTGACTTTGCATCCAGCCCGGCCCTTATATGGTTTAACCGTTGCGCGTTTTCAGCTCAATTCTGGCCGTTTGGAACACTCTGTGACCTCTGAGCGAGGCTCCGCCGGGCTTGGTCCCGTTGTCTCGCTCAGTTAGCAGCATGCCTAACCTGGTTGTCCATTCTGTGGAACCACTCGTGCAGTGAGTGTGTGTGTGAGAGAGAGAGAGTGTCCTCTGGGCCGCTTGCAGGCGCAAATGAGCAGGATGGGGAAGGTAATTGAAGGGGGACGACCACGAGAACGAGAACGGAACCGAGGGCGAGGACCAGGGCGAGGTGGAGGCAGGATGACGAGGACGAGGAGGAGGTGAAAGATGAGGAGGTGAAGAAGGAGAAAGGGAAGGACTGGGCATGAGGAAGAGAAGGATATGAAAGATGGGGACGACGACGTGGACGAGAACGACAATTAGGGCGAAGGCCGGGAAGAAGAGGAACGGGGTGTGAGCAAGAGAAGACTAGAACGAGAACGAGGAGGTTATGATAGTAATGCGGAGGAGGGGGAGGAGGAGGACAAAGAGGAATAGGAACATGACGAGGGGAGAGGATGAGATGGGGAGGAGGAGGAGGAGGATGGGAATCGGGATGGATGGAGAGGGGGTGATGAGGAAGAGAGATGAGGGAGCAGACGGCCCTAGAGACCGCCAAGACCGCCCCAAGACGGGCCAAGAGGGTCCCAAGACGGCCCCAAGAGGGGCCCAAGAAGGCTCAAGAGGGCTCCACGACGGCCCCAAGAGGGGCCCCCGAGCAGGAGACCGAAAGGACAATTCGACCCTTCCGTCCCAAGATGCCCCCAGACGGCCTAAGAGGGCTTTCCGAGCCCTCCCCAGTGGGCCCCAAAAGGCACAAATCATTGATTACCCCAAGTTTTTTCAATGCTTTCGGGCCTCTCAACTTTCCCAGCTTCCGACGCTCCACGACGTCCCTAGAGGCCCCCAAGACCGTCCCGAGACGGACCGCCAAGAGGCCCCCAATAGCGTCCACAGACGGCTCAAGGAGGCCTCAAGCGGCTCTACACGCGCGCCCAAGACGCCACAAGATGGTCCCAAGAGGGGCCCGAGCGCAGGAGCCCGAAGCGATACTTCAAGTCTTCCGTCCCAGAGGCCCCCAAACGGCCTCAGAGGACGCGCGCAGCTCCCCAGATGGCCGCAAGATGCAAAAGCAAAACATTTCCGAAGGTCTCCACTTTTCGAGCTCCCGGCGCTCCACGACGTCTCAAGAGGCTCGTAAGACCGCCCCAAGAGGCCCCAACGAGGGTCCCAGGACGGCCCAAGAGAACCCCTAGACGGCCCTAGACGCGCCCACGACACCCAAGAGAGCTCCGAGACGGGCCCCCACAGTGTGACCTTGCAAAAGGCAGCGCCTCGGTCGGGTCCGAACTCGCAAGCTCCGAGCCTTCCCAGTAGGGCCCATCGACGAAGCAAGAAACACGGAAACCATGGCCAAGATGTCGCGGTATTTGTTGATACCGATTTTGGTCATGGTCCATGTCAGCCGCCGCGGTGGTCTAGGTTTTGTGGGGGCCCCGCCACTGAGGGGAGGTGGCCTCGACCCCCCTCCACATGATGGGGGTGCACAGGCGATTGATGCGCTGGTGGCGCGGACGCACCCTGACGGGGCTACGCCGCGGCTGCCTTTACCCTGAACCCTTCCGCCCGACCCCCCCGCCCGGGGTAACGACCGTCACCAGGGAAATGAATAAACGGTCGCACAAGAACCCCGAGTTCCGACGTTGCGGCAACACTGCGACGTCACGAAAAACCACGACGCTGGAGCCTCATACCCCATTTTTCTGCACCATCTCTCGAGCCGGATCGAGCCGTGGTGGTCCCGAGCCCCGAGGCTGGGCGAAAGCGCACCGTGTGAAAACAGAGGCGGCGCCCCGATCGCAGGGGGCCGGCGTCTCGTCCCGTGCCGCTCTCTGGCGGTCCGGGGGCACGGCGAGGGCCCCCCAAGGGCCGAAATACGGCCACGCGCTTCCCGCCCTGATTTTGCCACCTACCAGACCACCCCAACCCAACCCGAAGGATCAGATTTACCCTCGATTTCCAGTGGGGGGGGGTCGGGGAACGTCGAAAAAACACATGGAACCCGTACCCCCCCCCAACCCGAAATTCGGGTCAAATTCGGGTCTTCGGGTTGGGTTGGGGTGGTTTGGTAGGTAGTCATGATTCTGCCACGAAGCGGGCATGTCTGGGTCAGGGATTGTTCAAGGGGCCCCCTGGCCCAATGTGGCCCCAGCTTCTCGCTCGATCTTGGAGCCCCCTGGGGCCTTCTGGGCCTCGTGAGGGGCGGTTTGGAGGCGGGGGGGGGGCCCCAGTGGAAATCCTGGGGGCACCTTCGGCCAGACGCCCCGAGATGCCCTCAGACGGCCCAAGAGGTGTCCACGACCACTACCCAGATGGGCGCAAGAGGCAAAAACCAATGATAATCCGTAGGTTTTTCGGTGTTCTGGAAAGTCTCGACTTTTCGAGCTTCCAGCGCTCAACAGGCCCCCGAGACCGCCCCGAGACGGCCCTACAGGGCCCCAAGATGGCCTGACAATTGCCCAAGAGAACCCCGAGACGGCCCTAGAGGCGCCCTAAGACGCCCCAAGAGAGCTCCGAGACGGCCACAAAAGGGCCCCAAATCTAACACACATTAAACCCAAACCGCCTCGTCAAGGACGGTGGCGTGCCAAATTTGTGTTAGTGAATTGTTGAGGCTCTGGGGCCTCCCTGGGAGCTCCCTTGGCGCCCTTTTAGGCCCTCCCGGGTTGTCCTCAAAAGCTCTGGTGGGGGCCTGTGGAAGTTTCAGGAGAGCCCCAGGAGGTTTCTGGAGGCCCTTGAAGCCCCACAGATCTCCAGAGTCTGGAGGCCCCGGAAAAACAAGACACACCCCAGAACGTGCAATCGTCCGTTCACGCCCACAGGCGACGACGACGACCACCACCACCACCACCACGACCATTACGACGACCACCGCGACGATCATCGCGACGGCGGCGGCGGCGCCTGCGGCGGTGGCGCCTGCGGGGGCGGCGGCGGCGGCGGCAACGGCCTGGCGGCCCAGAGCTTCTGGGGCCCTCCTCGGCCACCGCGGCAGTCACGGCACTTGCGCAGCTGGGGAAACATGCGGAACCTGACGACGCGTCGCACGTCCATCATCGCACGGCTCCGCGACTACCCACCGAGCCCTAAGCCCCCCCCAGAAGGCCCAGCACCTCCACGCAATGGCGGCCTTTGCCTGGGGAACCTCTCCATGGGTACTTTGGGTTTCGTGGATCAGCGCAAGGTGTATTGACAACGATTGCGCAGTGGGCTAGAACCGAAGCGCGCGCGTAGCGCTCGCGTGTGGTTCTATTGTACGTATATATGTATATATATATATATATAAATATGTGTTTATATCGATATGCTTGTGTTGCGTAGATGCACATGTATGCATGTGTATTTATATATAATGATACATTGCGAGAAAGCAGGGGATATATATATAGAGAGAGAGAGAACCAAACGAACATGACACATACGTAATGACAGAGACGTGCTATACATGTATATGTTTATACACTCTACGTGCTTGTATGTACACATATATGCAATTATAAGAACGTTTTGTTGGGGATCTATACGTGTATATATACACATATATATATATACGACCACATATATATATACAATACTCGAGTAAGCCGAAACTCGGGTTTGCCGAAGTTGTTTGAGGAACGCGTCCTGGATTTTGACGGTCCGGTTTTCGTGGGATGTTTGCAGCGGGAGTTCGCAGTGGGTGTGGATGTTTGCCCATCCAGTCGGACGGGCGGATATCCACATCCACTGCCTCCCAGAGTCGCTGGGGCACGTCGCCGCCGCAGTGAACGTGGACACATTTTGGCGGCGCACTCCCCTCGAAGGAGAACAAACACAAACGTCAACTTTCGACGGTCCGCTCGGACCGTCGAAAATCCACGTTTGTGCAGTTTGTGCTTCCCCGCGCCGGGGCAGGCAAGACGACCTCCAGCGCACCGCGCGCTCCTCCATCGGCATCCTGCGCGAGTTCGAGAAGCACCCCGACAAAGAAGAGCTCGGGCTCTCCGCGGGCGGGGCCCAGGCGTCTCCTCGCCTGTCCTCGCGGTGTCCCCTCGTGTTTCCCTTCCCTCCGCTTCCCCGCCCCGCACCTCCCCCTTGCCCCCAGCTTTCACCAGTACACCATGTAGCATGAATCTTTCTGGTTGGACGACGGCTTCGCGCGCTCCAGTGCAACCCATTGCACGCCGCGTCTGGAGAGAGGCTCACGTCGATCGCGGATGCGTGTGCGTGCTACGACTTTACCTGTCTCGCGGGTACTACAGCTCGACGGCATGGGCATCACCAGCTGTGGAAGGTTCGATGGCGGCGGGATGGAGACCACAACTGGTGCATCGAAAGCGGCTGGGCCACAGGACCGCTGAGGAACAACAGCGTTGGTTGCAGTGCCATTTTCGGAGCCGGGATCAAGAAGTCTGTGGTCACCCACGCGTGGACGGCCCCAGCTTCGGTGCCTGGTCGTGGAGTTGCACTGCGAGTTCGCTGTTCCTTTTAAAGACATCGGCATCTGCACGGCCTGCTTCCCGTCTTCGCCGGCGAAGGGCGGTTCGCAGGTGGACATTTACCGACGCACGTGCGGTACATTGATCAGCCATCATCCCCGTCGCGGGGTTCGCGACAGTCAGCGCATACATCGGCAACGGGCACACATTCTACAGTACTGCTAGCAGTTCCAAGATCAACTTCTTTCCTTTTTCTTATTCACATTCTTCTTATCTTTAAATCAGTAGTATTATTATTCGTAGTATTACTTATTGTTTTCTCCCGAAGCTATGCGTGGGGATATCACGTCAGCCAGGCCTCCTCGAAATTTGGGGCGCCGCCTACAGGTCCCTGCCACCGGGGAGATTAGAGGCCTATTGCCCGTACATGCGTGCATGCGGTACACACTGCAGGACGCTACCGCCCCGTACCGCTAGGGGTCGATGACCGAGAACACTCGACTGGATGTTGTGCTGAAGGCGGTCTCTTGGCATCGGGATGCGCTTATGCAATCGTTCAGATCGGGGCAGGGCCAGACGGATTACGTCATCCATTTGATAAAGTGTTGGACAGGTATATTAAAGCAACGGAAGCCGATTCAGAATGACGAGCAGGCAACAAACGCACACATAGGGATCGTTCGCAGACGCGCACCCCACAACTGGCAGCAAGCACTTCGGCATTGCACCGCACTATTGCGATGTTTCCAGATTTTCTGCGCAAGCTATCAATGCCCCGCTGGACACGTAGCGCGAGCTTCGTCTGCAATCGACCGAGGGTGGGGAGGATGAGGAGTCACGAACACTGCAGTGGCAACTTCGACATCTTACCAAGCAGATCAGGCATGCGAGTCGTCAGTATTGGAGAGGGTGGCGACATGATGCGGCGGCTGAATTACAGGGGGCTCAACGAGGGTGACGTCGCGCTAAGGTGGTTCGCATTTCCAGGGTGCTGGTGGGCGCAGGCGTCGGGCCAAGGAAGCGAGACCATCGACGCGCACCGTTTGTTCTTCCTACCAACGGCGAGGTCACTGAACGGTGGGCGCCGCGTGCCGTCAAGGGAGGCGCGACTGCTGCGAACACTGACCGGGCGGCGAAGGCAAAGGAGTATTTGTGCGATTCTGAGTCGGGCCGAGACGCTCACCTGCCCCCGGCACCCTGGGCGTCGAATCCGCGAGATCAAACAGCTGCCGCGCAAGGGGCCCAAGCGACGCGCCTTGCACCCATGTCGCAGACTGTCTCGCACGGACTACGTTGTCGGCTACGAGTCCCCGCAGGTCGACCTGGAGAATGCGCGCCGCTTTCTGGTCGCAGTCATGCATCGCGCCAGATGGTCGGGACAAGCGCCGCGGGTGTGGCATCTCAGTCAGGGAGTCGCGCTCAGCCGGAAGCGCGCGGCTCACTGGCTCGACCCTTCCGGCGAGGCACGCGCGGCAACAGCATTGGACCGCAACGTCGAACCCATGTTCGCCCGAAGCTGCATCCCATAGCAGCGCCGCGAGGTGGCGATCCCCGGGCGACAGCTCTGCGCGCGGTAGCTTCAGGGGCTCGTCATCAACACCATTGCCTTCGCGTCCACGGACTGGTCCAGCCTCGGGGGCGCCAGCGCCGCCGCGATGAAGGACGACGACGTGCAGTTCGGACGACAGCAGTTTTGGTTCGCAGCTAGCATGCTCGGTGACATCTGCACGAGACCTAGCGCGGGGGCGCTTGTCGGCGATCAGCGGGCAGTCCGCGCCTTCGTCAGGGGCGTTGGTGCGATCTTCGAGACGACCCAGCAGCGCCACGAGCAGCTCGGGCCACTGAGCTAGAGTTCCGACAGAAGAGATATCGCGATGGTCGCGGGCATGCGACCTGCTGCTGTCTGCCGAGTTTCGCCGTCGCGGCTGCGTCGTGATACCGAGCAACAAAGGCAGCTTGCTGTCTCACTTGGATCAGGCACGCTCGCTCGTCGGCGTGCGGTTTTCGGAAAATTAGATTGCGACGGCGGGGCCCCTGCCGATGCCGCTAGTCATCTTGGAGGTCAGGAAAAGGGGGTTGTTCGCGCCGCGCAGAGTTGGCCTCGCGCCCCGCGCCAGTTAACGCGGGCTTTCCAAGGGCATCTCGCGCGCAGCGTCGGGCCGTCTTTCCAGTGAAAGTCAGCGGGCCTGCCCGTTCCGCCCGCGATGCGACCCCCCCCCTCCCGACCCAGGCTCAGCTCGACGCCCCCGCGGCCAGGGCGGTTTTCCACGGGCGCAGGGCGACGCGCGGGATGCCGCGATCTGGGGAAGTTCTCGTCCTCGATCGATTTCGGCAGATAATGCATTGAGATGTTGGAAGGTGCTCGCGTCTAGCCGCCGAGTTTCGAGTTCGCCGATTCCGATGGCATCGGCGATGGTCTGCGTAACCTGGGCAACGCCTCGGCGAGCGAGCCCCCCCCCCTCCTGGGCGACGTGGAAGCAGAGCTACAGCGCGACCTGCGCGCCCTGGGCCCCGCGGGTCGCTTCGCCCGGCCGGGCAAGCCCTTGGGCCATGCTGCGCACCAAAGACTTCCATGCGCTTATGAAGGCTGTCGGAGGGCCCTGAGGTCGGCGCGGGGGCATGGGGCAGGGCCCCATTGGCTTTCTCTTACGAAATGGGGCGCGGGGACTTGGTCAGCGCGCTCGATTCGTCGGTCGCCGGGGCTGCGCGGCTCTCTGCGAGGGCCCCGCCGCCGGGCCCCACCCCCCCGGGCAGGGCCGCGCGCGGGCCCCCGCGGGCGCCGACATGATTTTGTTCGGCGAGGGCCCCCGGCGCGCGGTGGAAGGCTGCTCCGCGCGACCCCCCGCCAGAAGACGGCGGCTCGCGCGCGCCCGGGCGGCCTGCGGATGCGAGACCTTGCTTGGGGGGGTCGTCGCTGGCAAGGCTTCTTTTCGCTTGCGGGGGCCGGTTCCGGGGCCGCGCCTCGGTCTGCAATCGCGCGCTCGATTCGTTCATATCCCGCCTTCGCAGGTATCGGAAGAGCACGATTCTTTAGATCGAAACTCCCGCGGCGTCTCTCTCGCGCCGGCTGCGCGAGGCCCGCGCCATTCCAGAAGAAGTTCTCTACGTCCGTCATCGGCGACGCTTCGGGGGTCCACCGCCGGCGCTGGATGGCCCTTCCTCGACCAGACCGGCTGCTCATGCCGGGCGCGAAACGAAGGGGGGCCGAGCAGCCCGGGGCCCTCGAGCAGCTCGGGGCAAACGCGCAGGGGGTCCAGGACAAAGGCAAAGGTAGGGCCCTGGCGGCTCCGCCGCCGGTGGCGCCCGCGACGCTCGCCCTCGCCAGCGCGCGAAATTTGGCAGAGGTGAATGGCGCGTGCTACGCGCCCTTCTGAAGAGGCCCTTCTTTCCCCTGCTGCAGTCGCGCCATGCGATGGGGCGCCGGAGGAAGCAGGCCCTGCGCGCGCGCGGGGGGGGCTGCGAGGGGAAGGGCGAGGGCTGCCAGAAACGGCGCCCGTGGCCGCGCGTCATCGCGGCGTTCGCACGCTTGGCGGCGGCGGACTCGACCTCCACCCTGCAGCAGCCAAGAAGTGCCCGGCCACCTACTGGGAGAGGATGGTCGCGGGGCCTGATGCGCCGATCCTTCTCCAGCAGCGCTGCGGGCACTTTCGCATCAGGGGCTGCTGGCTCGAGAAGAGAGAAGAAATACTTCGGGGCTCGCGCGGTCGACGGGCGCGAGTTCCAGCTCGCGCGCGGCGCCCCCAAGCAGGGGGCCACCGTCGAGGCGCTCATGGAGGCCATCTGCGCGACCGCCATAGCGGAGGGCCAAGACAAGGTTCAGTTCCTGCCGGCGGCCCCTCGCGCGGTGCTGGCTGCAGCGCGAAGCTGCCGTCGCAGCTCGGGCTAAAGGATCGGATGAAGCGGGCGAAAGCAAGGGAATGAGATGCGGCCGCGCGGCCGACGCGCGGCCATCAGCGGCAGGGAGACAGCTGCCGACCTGCAGATCCAGGGCAGGCTCCGAAACCCTGCGCTCCTCGCCATCCAGGCCCAGACCCACCCTCTCCGATTTTCCAGTCTGTCTTAGGAGTTCAGGAATTGAGGATTCTGTTGTCAGCGCTTCCCACATGGAGGTTTCGCCAGACGCAGGCCGTCTTTGGGCCATCGCGGAGGCCCCTCGTGTTCTGCGCCCCGCCCGCCACGAGTTCTCTGAGGGAAGGGCGTGTGGTCGGGTCCTCGCGGACCTTCGACGTCTGGGTCGTCGCGCGCCGCGATCCCTCGTCGGGGCGGTGCTGGTGCAGGCTTGTTCGACGTTCGCATCTGGCGCATCCAGTGGTGGAATGCCGAGGCGAGCCCTCGCACCTCGCAGTGTCTGTCCCCGAGAGAGGGTTTCGCAGCTCGGCCAAAGGTATCCGCTTGCAGGACCCCACAAAATTCAGGAGGGAAAGAAACACACAGACATAATTAATCGTCGATCCCCAGGAAAATATGCGAAAATATGGGAAGTGGTGGGGAAACAAAAAACCCAAACATATAGGAAAATAGAGGGAATATTTTTATTTGTGTGTATTTATTTGTGTGTTTGTGGGCCCCTTCAAAAATGTTGTGCCCCATGAGAAGGTTCACGAACGCCTGGTCCGCTGTCTTCCAGTCTTGAGTGCCCCCGTCCGTCTTCGTAGCCCGAGGCACTGCATCGGACCACTGGTGCTGCTCTGCTCTGCTCCTCCTCCCTCCTCTTCCCTCGCCCCACCCTCCCTCCTCCTCCCTCCTTTTCTCCACCCTTTCCCCTCGCTCTCGTCCTGCCTCCAGTTCCCTCCCCGTCCCCTCCTCTTCCTGCCCCCTCCCTCCTCCCTCCCCTCCCTCCTCATCCCTCCTCTTCCCTCCCTCCTTCTCTTTCCCCCCCGCGTCCCCCATCCGCTCCTCATTTCGTTCCTCTCTTTCCTTCCCTCTTCCCCCCCCTTCGTTTTCCATCCCTCTTTCCCTCTTGCCTCCTATTCCCTCCCTCCCTCCTCCATCTCTTCCCTCGTGGAGCAATCTTTCTGGACGTATGTCGTCGCCTCGCTTCGAACGAGCCAATATCATTAGCATCAACTGTCGGAGGTCCGCGCGGATTTCTTGGACTGGCGCTGGGCAGTGAAAAAGACGAACCAGGAAATCGCCACGCCCACCGGGAAATCCACCGACGAACGGGGAGATTTTGGGAGGGTTAACGGGGAAACCCGTTTGGGACCGAACGGCGAAATTCCGGGAGGGTGACCAAGAAATATCTCGGGGGGTGCAGGGAGAAATTTGATTTGCGAATGTCCGGATGGCTTTCCAGGATCCCGCCGCAGGCATGAGAGGGGGGGGGAGGGTGTCCGGAGAGGACGGTGTCCAAGGCGCTCCCATGCGTGGTGTAGGGCCCCCAGAGGCTTCCTGGGACGGGAGTTCTCGCGTGGTGTAGGATTTCCGGAGGCCTCCAGGGGCGGGAGTTTTCGCGTGGAGTAGGGCTTCCCAGATCGGGAGCTTTCGTATGTGATGTAGGGCTTGCCGGGGCGGGAGTTTTCGCATAGGGCCTCCCAGGGCGGCAAGTTGTGTGCGAACCAGAAGGATTACCAAAGTGTTGGGCGCTCCATCGACGACGTGGCAGGCCTCGACAGCAATGGGCCTCTTCAGTGTACGGTCTGAGGCAATCTCGCCTTCCTCCCTCCCCTTTCCATTCCTGGTTTAGCAGCACCCACTGTAAACTTGCAGTTCATGCTTTCCGTTCGGTTGCCAACGTCGCAACCTGCGTTTCTCAACGCATCCTACCGGATGCACGGCCGAGCGAGCGAGCGAGCCTCCCGGGGTGGGAGCAGGGCTTGCCGGGGCGGGAGTTTTCGCATCGCGTGGGGCCCCCCAGGGCGGGAGCTTTCGCATGGTGTAGGACCTCTCGCGGCGGGAGTTTCCGCATGGTGTAGGGCTTGTCGGGGCGGGAGGTTCTCGCATGGTGCCCAGGGCGGGAGGGGCTCCCCAAGGCGGGAGTAGGGCCTCCTGCGCTGCGGCGGGGATTCTCGCATGCCGAGGCGGTAGTTTTCGCATGGTGTGGGCACGGCCTCCTGTGGCGGGAGTTTTCGCATGGTGTGGGGCCTCCCAGGGCGGGAGTTCTCTCATGGTGTATAGGCCCTCCCAGGGCGGGAGTTCTCGCGTGGTGTAGGGCCTCCCCGGGCAAGAGTTTTCGCATGAGTGTGGGGCCTCCCAGGGCAAGAGTTTGCGCATGAGTGTGGGGCCTCCAGGGGCGGGAGTTCTCGCGTGGTGTAGGACTTCCCGGGGCTGGAGTTTTTGCATGGCGTAGGGCCTCCCAGGGCGGGAGTTTTCGCATGGTGTGGTCCCCTCGGCTCCCGCTTCCCCAGGCCCGCTTCGGGCCCTGGGGGCCGCCGGAAACATCAATCCCGTGCAGGAAAAACAGGTCAGGATGAGGGGAGGAGAGGGGAAGGAGGAGGGGGAGGAGGAGGAATAGGAGGAGGAGGAGGATTGTCAAGGCCGTCTCTTAGGACACGGGTAAAGTGTTACCAAGGTCGTGTCCTACCGTGCGTGAGTTACGATTTGCACCAGTGTCTTCCACCCGTGTTGTGCACCAGTGTTTTGCACTAGTGTTAGGAGGAGGAGGAGGAGGAGGAGGAGGAGGAGGAGGAGGAGGAGGAGGAGGAGGAGGAGGAGGTGGAGGTGGAGGTGGAAGTGGAGGTGGAGGAGGAGGAGGAGGAGGAGGAGGAGGAGGAGGAGGAGGGCTCTGAGGGCTCTGATGATACGGGTCTGCCCATAGACCCCTGGCACACTGGCCTAAACGAAGCCGCCTATGCGGCCTCAGAGCCGAACCCGATGGCCCAGCAAGACGAGCAGACTGCCCGCTACGATCCCTGCTGTCTGAGGCCAGCAGGAGCCATGGCAGACAGCTCGCACCAACGAACCGCACCCATCAGAGGCGACGAGAGGGCCCAGCGACCCAAGAAAACCAAAGGCAAAAACGAGGCGAGACCAGCCGCGGCGACGAAGTCCACCTAGGCCAAACCCAAGCGCCCGCCTCCACGGCCGAGCGCACTCAGGCCTCAGCATGCTTTACGACCAAGCCGCTCATGCACATGAAGTCAAAGGCGCCGATGGCCTGCGACTTGCTCAGCATGACGGCGTTCGCTTTCACAAAGTCGAAATTGCCGAAGATCCGACGATTCTTGGCCTTGGTCGCCTTCTTCAGGCGTGTGTTGAACATTACAACGCCCAGAATGACGAATTTGCCGATGAACTTCGCCACTGACGTTGCAAAGTTCGGGAGGGATCTCAAGGTCTTGATCATCACAACACGCGGGATGACGAACTTACCGATGTATTTCGCACCTGAAGTTGCAATGCTCGCAAGAGAGCTCAAGGCCGTGCTGAACTTCTCCGAAAAAAACGCCCACCACAGCTCCCGCACGCTGCGCCCTTCTGAAGTGCGCGCGCGGACGGCACCCCCTGGGCCCAGAGGGGCTAGGAGGAGGAGGAGGACGAGAAGGGGGAGGACGAGGAGGAAGAGGAGCAGGAGCAGGAGGAGGAGTTGGAGGAGGAATAGGAAGGGGACGAGGAGGAGGAGGATGGGGAGGTGGAGGAGGAGGAGGCGGAGGTGGAAGGAGGAGGAGAGAGGAGGAGGAGGAGGAGGAGAGGAGGAGGAGGAGGAGGGGGTGGACGAGGAGGAGGAGCAGGAGGAGGAGCAGGGGGAGGAGCAGGAGCAGGAGGAGGGAAGAGGACGAGGAGGGGGACGAGGAGGGGGACGGGGAGGAGGAGGCGGAGGCGGAGGAGGGGGGAGGAGGCGGAGGCGGAGGCGGAGGAGGAAGAGGAGGAGGAGCAGGAAGGGGAGCACGGGGAGGAGCAGGAGGAAAAGGATGAGGAGGGCACGGAGGAGGATAAAGAGGAGGAGGACGAGGAGGAGGAGGAGGAGGAGGAGGAGGTGGAGGTGGAAGTGGAGGTGGAGGAGGAGGAGGAGGAGGAGGAGGAGGAGGGGGAGGACGAGGAGGAGGACGAGGTCGAGGAGCTGCCAGAAGGACACAACTCATTTTGTCTGATGTTGCCGTGCGGTTGCACAAGCCTCGGGTGGAGTCGGGGGGGACTCATTCACCGCCAGGGGCCTCCCCAGGGAGGTTCGCCGTCCTGGGGCGGGGTGCGGAGCCGGCCTAAGGCGCTCGAGAGGGGGACCACCCAGGGAGGTTCACGCGGTGAATCTCCCGTTGAATTCACAGATATGCGTGAGATGTGTCAAATGTACGGAAGGTTCACCGCCCGGGGGCCTCCGCAGGGAGGTTCTTTGTCTTCGGTGGTGGGGCGGAGCACGTCCGAGGAGTTGGGCGATGGAGAGGAGGAAGTCTTGATCGAACTCTCCATAGCGGCACACGGCCGATACTGATGATTATTGGTATGATGATGATATTGTTGTTGATGATGAGGAGGAGGATGAGGATGTTGATGATTGTTAGTATGACGATGATGCTGCTGATGATGATGGTGATGATTATTTTGATGATGATGATGATGATGATGATGATGATGATGATGATGATGATGATGATGATGGTGATGGTGATGGTGATGGTGATGGTGATGGTGATGGTGATGATGCTGATGCCGATGATGATGCTGATGCTGATGCTGATGATGCTGATGATGATGATGATGATGATGATGATGATGATGGTGGTGATGGTGATGGTGATGGTGGTGGTGGTGATGATGGTGGTGGTGGTGGTAGTGGTGATGGTGATGATGGTGGTCATGATGATACTGGTGGTGGTGGTGGTGGTAGTGGTGGTAGTGGTGATCGTAGTGGTGATGGTGATGGTGATGATGCTGATGATGCTGCTGATGATGATGATGACGATGGTCATGGTCATGGTCATGGTCATTGTTGTGGTCATGATGGTGATGGTGATGGTAATGATGATGGTGGCGATGATGATGATGATGATGCTGCTGATGATGATGATGGTGGTGGTGATGGTGGTGATGAGGATGAGGAGGAGGGGGGTACCTCCAAGACCGTACCCGTCCCCGCAGGCTAGTGACCAACATTCTGTGCTTCTTGCCGGTAGCCTGCGGAGAGGAAGGGATGGCCGGGGGGCGCGGAGGAGAAGGAGGAGGAAGAGGAGGAGGAAGAGGAGGAGGAGGAGGAGGAGGATAAGGAGGAGGAGGAGGAGGACGAGTGGGAGGCTGCCCTAAGCTTTTTACATTGGCGGTCTCGCGCCAAGATCAATTAGGAGAGGAAGCAAGCCCAGCCGTGGTGAGCTTTGGCATAGGCGTCACCTCGGGTTAGTGCCAGAAGTACGCAGGAGCGAGGTCCATGCGACGGAGAAATGGCTGAAGTTGGCCTCCTGGCACAAGAAAGTTAAAACTCTCTTAGGCGCCAAGGGCAAACAGCTTAAGAGTAGATGATTCGTTGAAGGAGCCAAGTCCGTCCTGGCACATGGGATTTGCAGCCAAGGCTTCACGCCGAAAGAAATAGAAAAGGTACGAGCATTAGGAGGAGCAGCTTCAGCAGCAAAGTAAGGGCGGACAAGTTAGATGTTTGGTGGTGCACGGTAAATGACAAGGACCATATCGTTTGGGTAGGAGTTGGTTTGGAAAGATATGCCGCCGAATTGTGGGACAGCAGCTCAACCAGATTTGACCGTGAACTCAGGTTCACGCGGATCTTTTGTCTTGCAAGGAGTTGAGGGACGCGTATGAGCATAAAGTGGAAGGCCTTGTAAGCAGCAGCTAGGAAATGTGGTTGGGCAGAGCACGTGGTCCCATGACTTCTCTCCTCATGTGGGTCAATCATGACGAGAGGAAGTTGCTGTCGCCCACCAACATTCAGGACAGGACAGGGGCAGTTCTCAGAAGGGTTAGCACGGAGTTCCATCGGCAGTTCAAGGACGCACTCGTTCAGGACTACGCGAAAAAGAATATACCTACAGACTCCGACGTTGCTACTTCTGGCCTGCGGTGGAAACTTCCCAGCGGCAGCTCCCACTGGCAGGCCTCAGCTTCCAAGAGCAGCAACTTGTTCGACAAGTCTTGTTCAATGCTCTGGCTACTGGAGAGAAACTCCAGACATGGGGGTTACTCAGGCGTCGGTGACTGCCCATACTGCGGCAAACTTCTCACGTGCGCCCACAGAATATGGAAATGCCCGCGAGGCCACAGCATCAGGCAGGAAGCTGTTGGCGATACATGGGACGAGGCCAAGGCGAACGAAGACATTTCTATATCTCGAAGGTTTGTGCAGCCAGACCTGACGTCCCCAGGCTGGCCCAGGACTGGGATACTGAAATGCTAGACAAGAGAGGGCCGTGCCAAGACAAAGTGTTTGACCCAGATATCCCCGCTTTCGTAGATGGTTCCATTATTGACCCATCCTACCCGCAAATTTGTAGGGCGGGGTTGGCAGCAGTCCATCTTAACGCCGACGGGGAGCTTATGTTGGCAGTCAGGACACCTTCGCCAGCAGACTAGCAACAGCCCACATCAAGTCCACGGTTCACGGGTCAGCGCCATTCGTGGTTGATTGTGCAGCTTTTCTTACGTGTAACCGATCCCCAGGACCGGTATTGGCAGGCAGCTGTTTCTTTGGAGAATGCTGGCGCTATATCGGGCTCCATCTCCCAGCGGACCAGCGGACCTCCCTACGCAAGACCAAGGCGCACCGAGACAGGGCGAACGTCGCGGAAGCTGAGCTCGATGAGTGCTTCAGGAAGCATGCGTTCCCAGGCAGGAAGCTGATGCCTACGTTGAGGCCGTGCAGGCTTATACTGCCCTGCTCAAGCAGGGTTGGCTGGATCCTTGGAGAGTGGCATCGGGCCACAGACATGTGGCCCGAGGCCCAGTCGCGGCCCCGCAGGGGACGTGATCGCCCTTTTTAAACATGTCACACGCGGGTGCGGGCGGGCTCAGGTTTCAGATGCTCCAGATGTTTGAGGAGGATCATCCCAAGCACCAGCAGAGGATACCAACAGGTGGCTTCCCATATTGTTGAAACTAATTATCGAGGCTGGGCCTCGATTTCACAAGCTCATGGTAGACTGGGCCAGCAAAGCGAAGTTGCCTGTAGTGTTTTGCAATGAGTTCGGGGGCTTCACCTGTACAGTCCGGGGGGGAAGCTGTTCCTCCCATGCGAGCCTTCGTTCACTTCAGAACTGAGGAAGTTACGGAGAGGCCTAATTCCAGGCACACCTATGCCTATCTAGGTCAGCTTGTGGCGGAGGTTTTGGAGGATCGGGCCAAGGAGGACTTGGCAGCACCCGCAATGCCATCTCTTGAATCTGGCCGGAACGGTCCAGAACGTTACGGTCTTCTGTGGCAGTAGGCACCAGGATGGAGGCAATTGTGGCATCAATGTTGATATCGTGGCTTCTCCTCGAAGCCTGATTCCGGGTGTACTGGTCCATTCCTGAGAACATAATTTACAATAACCAGTAATTGCTATGCGAGTGGGGCCAGGGGCGTGGCGCGCGGCAAGAGTGCCAGCCGTAATGATGTCAGTACGTACTTTGGGACATAATGATGACAGTGCATTCGTGGCGGTCTTCGCGAAGACTGGCTGCGATCAGGAAGAAAAACGAGGAAATGGAAGAGCTAAAGCTGCAGCTGCTGGTGATGAGTACTGAATTGGAGGAGTGGCGGCAATGGTGGTAGAACGGCCGGATAGCTACTGCGGAGGCTGCGAATGCGCAAGCAGAGAAGGACAGGAAAGCTGAGGAGACTGGCAAAAACAAGGAGACCAGCAAGGGGAGGGGGCCAAGAAGGCCGAAAATGACAAGAAAGCAGAGGAGTCCAAGAACACCGAGGAAGACAGGAAAGCAGAGGATGCCAGGAAAGCCGAGGAGGACAGAAATGTTGAGGAGGACAGGGGATCAGAGGATTCCGGCAAGGCTAAGGAGACTGGGAAAGTTGAGGAGGTTGAGGAAGCCAAGGAGGACAGGAAAGTTGAGGATACCAGGAAAGCTGAGGAGACCAGGAGAGTTGAGGACGACAGGACAGCAGAGGAGACCAGGAAAGCCGAGGAGGACAGAACAGCTGAGGAGGTCAGGAAGATGAGGACGGAAAAGCCGAGAAAGACAAGAAAGTTGAGGAGACCAGGAAAGCTGAGGAGGCCTGGAACGCAGAGGAGGCCAGGAAAGCTGAGGAGGACAGGAAAAGCTAAGGAGACGGGAAAAGCTGAAGAGATTTGCAAAGCCGCAGAGGCCAGCGCGGCAGAGGTGACCGGTAAAGCTGAGGAAGACAAGCGGGGAAGCTGAAGTGGCCCAGAAAAATGGCGAGAGGGCCATGCAGGACGAGGACCAACCAGAGTTCACCGAGCTGCAGCTTCATGCCATCATCGATATCACCAGGCAGGACTTGGCCAAGAAAGCCGGTTTGCCGAGGGACTTTTGCGAGGGACCGCTGAGCGAGCTCAAGAGTAGATTTGGGCCCGCATTGTTCTCGAGGGCTCGGGTGCGCCGCGTCATCGAGTTCACGATGCGCGCGTGCGTCGGCTTCTGGGAGCGGAGCGGCAAGGGCAAGGGCCTGCAGTACGCGAACGATGGAATCGCCAGCGGGGTAGGTGCTGGTGTGAGCCGTGTCAGTGTACAGCTCAGTATACTTGGGAAGAAGAATGGCTTGGTTTGCTTGATCCAGGCGATCTCAGCTTGCAGCTCGCATGGGCGAGGTTGCGCTTGATCTGCGATGTTTGCCTCATCTCCTCCTTCCCTCCGTGGTCCGCGCCTCCCCCTCTTTCTTCCCTCCTTATCCTTTGCATGAGCTGCTGTGCACCAGCGCAGTAAGGCCATCGAGGGTCGAGGGGGGTCTGAGGGAAGGAGTTGGGGGGGATGAGGTGCGCTACGGCATGACGAGTTTTATCGTCGGTACCGGCTTCGGCACCTTGCCGACTGGCGGTGATCAGGTTTTTATTGTGTTTGTTACGGCTCGAGCCGTTTGTATCACCGAGTATCACCGAGGAAGTGGAGGAGGATGAGGGGGAAGAAGAAGAAGAAGAGGTGGATGAGGAGGGGGAGGAGAAGGAGCAGGAGTTGCAGGAAGAGGAGTTGCAGGAAGAGGGATGAGGAAGAGGATGAGGAGGGGAAGGATGAGGAGGAGGGGGAAGATGATGAGGAGAAGGAGGTGCATGAGGAAGAGGAGGCGACAGATAAAGAGAAAGGCAAAGATAAAGAAGACTACAACGAGGAGAAACACAAGGAGGTGGATCGGCGAGGAGGCGGAGGCGGAGGAGGACGACGACGAACAGGAAGGTGAGGAGAAGGAGGAGAACGAGGCAGAGACAGAGAACGAGCACGAGACAGTGACGCATCGATATCAGGAGGAGAGGCACAAGGAATCGGAGGCTGGAGAAGGAGGGGGAGGACGAGGGGGATCACGAGAAGGAGGAGGAGCAGGAAGAAGAAGAAGAAGATGGTGATGATGCTGCTGCTGATGATGGTGGTGATGATGACGACGACGAGTATGATGATGATAATGATGATGAGGATGATGAGGATGATGAGGATTATGAGGATGATGAGGATAGTGTTTGTTGCTGATGATGCTGATGCTGATGTTGCTGATGCTGACGATGATGATGCTGATGAGGTGGAAGCTGATGATGCTGATGATGGTGCTGATGCTGATGCCGATGCTGCTAATGATGATGATGATGATGATGATGATGATGATGATGATGATGATGATGATGATGATGATGATGATGATGGTGATGGTGATGGTGATGGTAATGGTAATGGTGATGGTGATGATGAACATGATGATTATGGTGATGATGATCGTGATGGTGATGATAATGGTGATGGTGATAGTGCTAGTGATTGTGACTGTGATGATGACGATGATGACGATGCTGATGCTGATCATGATGACGCTGATGACGATCATGGTCGTGATGATGTTGACGATGGTGATGCTGCCGCTGATGGTAGTGATGATGATTATGGTGATGACGATGGTGATGGTAATGATGATGGTGATGGTGATGGTGCTAGTGATTGTGATGATGATGGTGATGATGATGATGACGATGATGACGATAATGATGCTGATCATGATGCCGCTGATGGCGAAATGGTGGTGATGATGTTGACGATGGTGATGCTGCTGCTAATGATAATGATGATGCTGACGATGATGATGGTGATGATGGTGATGATTACGTTCATGACCATGGCCATGTCCATGGCGATTACCATGATGATGCTGGCGCTGATGATGATACTGATACTGATACTGATACTGGTGATGATGCTGCTGATGATGTTGCTGATGCTGATGACGATTATGTCGATGATGCTGATGGTGATGCTGATGATGCCGCTGATGCTGATGCTGATGATGATTTTGATGTTAATGATGATGGTGCTGATGATGATGCTGATGATGATGATGATGATGACGACGATGATGAGGATGAGGATGAGGATGAGGATGAGGATGAGGATGAGGATGAGGATGAGGATGAGGATGAGGATGAGGAGGAGGAGGATGAGGATCATGATGAGGAGGACGTGAGGGAAGAGGAGGGAGGAATCTGAGAAGAACGAGCACGTGAAAGAGACAGACAAATAGGGTCACCACAAGGAGGTGGAGGTAGAGAGGGGACAGGGGAGAGGAGGAGGGTGAGGGTGATTAGGATGCGGAGATTTCCTGATGGTTCCAGCAGCGGTCAATGATTGAGCGAAGGGACGTGAGAGGAGAAAGGGGACGGACGGCTAACGTCGCTTTGGGGATCTTATGGGGCTGGACATCACGGGGTTGGACCATGCGGGATGGGACCCTATGGGGTGACGCCGTGTGGAGTGGGACGTTGCGGAGTGGGTGGGGCCGTCTCGGGCGGCACGAGAAAGCGGCAGTGGGATGCGGAGGTGGGGGGAAGGCGGATGGGTACAGGATGGCAGGAGACCGTGAGGGGGGGCGCTGCGGCTGCTGCGCCATGGGGCAGCATCGACGCCGAAGGCGGCGGTGGCGGCGGCGAGGCGGTTGGCGACGGCGACGGCGCGGGCGGGAGGGGCGACGACGGCGCGGGCAGACGACGAGGGCGGCGGCGGCGACGGCGGACGGCGGCAGCGCCGCGTCGGTGGTGGCGGTGGCAATGGGGGCGCCCGGCCCCTCGGCCAGGTGGACCGCTCCGCGAAGGAGCCAGGCGCGCAGGAGTTCTTCAAGGAGCCCCCCCCGCTCGGCGGGGAGGCCTTTGTCCTCCCTCCTCGCCCCCTCCTCCTCCTCCGCCCCTCGCGCCTCGCCCTCCTCCCTCGCTGCCTCCTCCCCTTGGGCCTCGTTTTTTTTTGTTTTCTTCTTCTTCTTCCTCTCTACGTGTAACAAACATGAGCCAGTCTTGCTCCTCTGTCTTAGTTCTCGTGTGTCGTTCTCCTTCCCCCCGTCCCCACTTCTCCTCCCCCTCACCACCACCAAGTGTTCCTCGTCCTCCCTCCCTCCCTCCTCCCTCCTCGTCCTCCTCGTCCTGATCGTCCTCGTCCTCCTCCTTCTCCTCCTCCTCCCGCATACCTCTCTCCCCCTTCTTCTCAAGGAGTTCAACTTCTCGGCCTGGAAGTCCGAGAAGCATGCCTACGACTGGTACGTCCGCTCGCCCGACCACAAGGAGCTTCCCCCCCCCCACCCCAAGAGGCCCACCACAGGGGCCCGTATGCTGGTGAGCTGCAGCAGGAGACCCGCGTCCCAGATGCAGCGGTCTGGGTGGACTGTATAGAGACGGCGCTGAGGGACCACCCCCTGCGCACCACCTCCAGTGTCGAGAAAGTGCCACGCCTGTCGTGCCCTGCTGGCCTGGGCCGTGCAGGCACGGGCCCGGACCTGTTGCGATTTGACATGGCAGCGCTGGTAGTCGCCAGTTCTGGCCCCCACGGAACTGCAGCAGGACGCCTGTGTCCTACAACGGCATGCTCGAGTAATGGTGAGAGGGGCATGATCGATTGCGTACCCAAGGCCCCCCTGGGCGAAACTGTGGGGAATAATCCAAGGATATTGTTGTACCTACCCGCCCCGCGGCTGGCGCGCTTCTTGGGACAAAAACTGCATTATTGTGTTGAACACCCACCCGCCCACCCACTGCCGTCGTCGTCGGTTGATGGTTGCGGGCGTTTTCCGCGAAGCAGTGCTTGCGCTTCGGCATCCCAACTTGTACTATTTCAATACTTGCATGGGCTTCCAGAGTTTCCGCCGCGTTCGCGCCCCTGCCCTCTCGTGGGCCACGAAGCGCCCACGAGCGGGCACGGGCGCGAACGTGGCGAAACTTTGGGGAGCATTCCCAGCGCACGGGGCGCCCACCAGGCGCCCACAAGCGGGCACTGGCGCGGAAACGGTTGTTTTGCACCGCTCTTCGCCCGTTACGTAAGCGAAAGCTCCGCCCTGCCCCCGAACCTTCGGACCCCTCCCTGGGGATTTTGGGCTTTCGTCCCAGATTGTTGTTTGACGGTCCTGGGGCGCGTAACGGGCCTTCAGGGACCGAACTTTTGGAATTGAATAAGTGCCATCATTACGACATGCTCTGCATGACGCCAAATTTTGAGGGGTTTGCAGAAGCTGGCGGCTGTCTGCTTTGTGCCTCAGCCCACCTTGCCTCGCCTCACCGAGCTGACCGCCCTCGACGGCGGCCGCCCCCACTGGCGGGGGCAGAGGGAGAGAGGGAGCTTGGCGACCGGATTTCAGGCGTCAGCGGCAGCGTCATCGCGTCACCGACGCCACGACAAGATGGACGTGTTCCTTGCCGCGTTGGTCGTTGTGGTGGCCGTGTTTGCAGTCGTCGTCATGGACGTCGTTGCCGTGGTCGTGGTAGTACTTAGCGTGTGTGTGTGCGTGCGTGCGTGCGTGCGTGCGTGCGTGCGTGCGTGTTGTTTCCACAGTCCCTGCGCCACTTGACTACCTGTCTCCGCCATGTCCTGCCTCGTCTCCTCGCTGTCGCAGTTTGCCTGCACCGCGCCTCCCTCTACACCCCGCCACCCGGCTGCTGCACAACCACGCTGCCCACGCGACGCTCGGGTATGCGAATGGCATGGTTGACCCGCTTTGGATCCCTGACACTTCTCTGAGGGGCCGGCCGCGCGCGTTTCTAGTTCGCCTGGGCGCACTTTCTTCGCTTCGTCGCTGCGCGCGAGGCCGCGATCGCCAATGAAGTATATGTGTGTGTGCGTGCGTGCGTGCGTGCGTGCGTGTGTGTGTGTGTGTGTGTGTGTGTGTGCGCGTGCGCGTGCGCGTGCACATGCGCGTGCGCGTGTGTGTGTGTGTGTGTGTGTGTGTGTGTGTGTGTGTGTGTGTGTGCGCGTGCGTGCATGTGCGCGTGCGCGTGCGCGTGCGCGTGCGCGTGCGCGTGCGCGTGCGCGTGCGCGCGTGCGTGTGTGTGTGCGTGTGCGTGTGCGTGTGCGTGTGCGTGTGCGTGTGCGTGTGCGTGTGCGTGTGCGTGTGCGTGTGCGTGTGCGTGTGCGTGTGCGTGTGCGTGTGCGTGTGCGTGTGCGTGTGTGTGTGTGTGTGTGTGTGTGTGTGTGTGTTTGTGTGTGCGTGTGCATGTGCAACCCTTTGGCTCACGCCATTTTGGCTTCTACCGTCTGGGTTCGAACACGCCCCTGGGTCAGGTGCGGCGTTTTGGCCCTGGCACGATGGAGACCGCGGCGGCGCGGCGACGGCGGCAGCGAGCGGCTGCGCCCGCGTTGCCGGCGCTGCAGGCGGCGCGGGCGCCGCTGGCGCCGTGGGCGCCCCGGGCCCCGTGGGCGCCGCGGGCGCCGCCGGGGCTGCAGGCGCCGCGTACGCCGCCTGTGCTGCTGACGCTGCTGGCGCTGCCGGCGCCGCGGGCGCCGCGGACGCCGCGTGCGCCGCGGGTGCCGCGGGCGCCGCCAGCGCCGCGGGCGCTGCCAGGAATGCGGACGGCGCGGGCGCCGTTGGCGCCGCGGGCGCCCCAGACGTCGCTGGCGCCGGGGGTGCTGCTGGGGCTGCCACGGCTGCCAGCGCCGCGGGCGCCGCGGGCGCCTCGTGCGCTGCGGGCGCCGCGGGCGCCGCTGGCGCCGCTGGCGCCACGTTCGCCGCTGGCGCTTCTGGCGCTGCGGGCGCCGCTGTCGCCGCTGACGTTGCTGGCGCCGCGTTCGCCGCTGGCGCTTCCGGCGCTGCGGGCGCCGCTGTCGCCGTGGGCACCGCGGGCGCGGCCGGCGCCTTCTCGGCCGCCGCGGACGCCGCTGCGGCGGCGTCCACTCCTGGGCTCTGGGCGGCGACGGCCGCCTTCGCCCAGGCAGCGGCAACTGCAGGGACAGGGGGAGCGGCAGCCGGCCCTGGCGCTGCTCCACGAGATGGTGGAAGTGAAGCTGGAGCCCGCCATCATCTGCCACGGCGCCCCGGTCAGCGCGCGCGAGAAGGATTGGCAGGAGTAGCGGCAGGCAGTCCTGGCATGATTCCGAGAGACGTTGGGAGTGGGCGTCGATGAGGGGTTCGTTGAAGTGTTCCGCGCAGTGACATCCAGCGGCGCTGGAGAGCGGGGGGGGCGGCGCTCTCTCGGGGCCCTGCCTGCGTCGCGGCGGGCGGTGGCAAGGAGGTGCAAGAGCAGGGCGGCAACGTTCTGCAGCAAGTTCCCAATCCTGCGCGCGCCAATCCTCTCGACGCTACACCACCAATCTCGTCGACGTTACGCCGCCAATCGCTGCCCGACGACAGCGCCCCAAACCCAGGGGGCGGGGCGAGCTTGCCCTGCGCCGCCTTGCTGTTAACGGCCGCTTCGCGCCGTTACGGCCTGCTTCGCCCGGCCGTAACAGCGCGGGCCCAGTCGAGAATTGCGGCGGCGGGGGGTCGCGCGAGGGCGACGAGAGCCCCTCGAGCGAATTGGCCCAACGTCCCCGGTGGTCGGACCAAGAGGGCGACGCCGTCGATCCCCCGACAGTCGCGGACGCTCCTGTAAGCTCGCCGGCGGACCGAGTCGGCCAGCGAGATCGGAGGTGCGTTGTCAGCGGCCTAGAGTCCTCTCGCGCCGGCTGTCTGGTTGACTACGTCGCGGATGGCGGACTGGCAGCCGTCGTTGCGGGCGACTGAGGCAGCGGCGCCCGACGGACGCGCGCCTCCCGCCAGCCCCCCACCGATCAGGGTCTGCGCGACCGCTGCGGAGACGCTGTCGCGGAGCGGATTTTGCTTCGCCCAGCTAGCGCAAGGCGCCCTCTAGCTGACGATCAAGGAGGCGCGGGCCGACTCCCCGTGGATTCGCAAACGCTGGGATATCAGCCAGCGCGACTCCAAATTGATAGGAGGACAGGAGGGGGCGGACGAGACGAGGATGGGAGGAGGACGAAATGAGGACGGGGGCAGGGCGCGAGGAGGACGGCAGTAGCACAATCAAGCAAGCGCAAGCAAGTGAGCGGAAGCAAGCAAGCGCAAGCGAGCAATGTCAAGCAAGCAAGAGCCAGCGATCAGGAGCAAGCGAGCAAGGGCAAGCAAGAGCAAGCAAGCGATAGCAAGCACGCAGGAGCAAGCAATCAAGAGCGGGCAAGAGGAAGCAAGGGCAAGCGCCTCATGGGAACCCATCGGAATCCATAGGACTCGCCATTGAAAATAGCTGGGGGGGGGGGGGGGCCTTGGAAATACAGGGGGCTGCAGTTGGCCAAAAGGGGGGCGGCATGGAAGTTCGGGGAAGGGGGGGGGGCTAGGGGGGGGGCAACGGACCAATTAGTAGGGTTTGAGTTAGAACTCATATAGGGCGAGCTTAGTTGGATAATCGTTCCATTTGTGGCCACAGGAAAAAATCGAAGGGGCGAGCTCGCCCAGAAATGACCCCGCGACAGGTTGCGATCGACTTCCTGGGCCCCCCACCAAACGGCTGGCTCGCGCCCCGCCGGCCTCGGCAGGCCTGACTGGACGTGTCGAAGGAAGCGAGGGCCCTGACTCGGCCGGCTTGGCGGTTGCCTTCAAGGAACAGCTTGCGGCCCGCATCGGGCGGCTGGGGGGCCAGAGCGCGGGGGCACCCCGCGCAGTTGTCTCGCTGCGCGCGCGGGGCACCGCGGTGCAGTTCCTTAGCCGGGCGGTCGCGCATCGAACGGGCGCTGATCTGTCGCTGCTTGCTTCGTCACGCACCGGCCAGTCGCTCGATTCACGCGCCGATGCGTCGCTTGCCGTGCCCCGTTGTTTACCGATGAGTCGCTCTGGGCGCGCGCCGCTCTGTCGCCGTCGGTTACGCCGTGTTTCTCTTGCTCTTGCTTCCACCGCCCCCAGTTCTAGGCCCCGTGGTGTTCTGTCTTCTGCCGGGGGTGGCGCGGCTTTCTTGCAGCCGTCTGGCGGCGGACTCCCCCTCCTCGTGGGTCGCGGGGTTCGCTCGGCCGCCGTCGTCGTCGGTCGTGGGTTCGGCCGTGTCGCGGGAAACCCGCCGTCGTCTTTCCGGACCTGCTGTCTCAGCGTCGGGTCCGTTGTTGTCATGTTGCAACGGCGCATAGTTCTTGCATTCAACCCGCGCTATTGTTCTTGCGTCGCCGGTATATAGGGCAGCACGACCCATCGCATCTGTAGGCCATAACTTTCAGCGTTGCCCCACCAATTGGCTGGTCTGGCAGCACTACAGGTTGTACTATGTACCGACGTTTTAGGTTGCCTTGAGTTGGGCTATCCTGCTCCTGAGGCTCTGACCGCTGCACGCTCTTGGGGTGATCAGCAGTCGGTGATTATTGGCTTACATTTGCAGCGGACTGGTTGCTTGCGCTTCAAACTACCCACGTCGAGCTGATATTCCAGGTTTTTCTGGGCTGACGCATGTAGGTTTTGCATCGCCCCTTGTTTTCCTACCGCACCACTTTATATGCGTTGCCATGGCCGGGCTGTTCCATGATGGCGAGTTGGATCGAGTTCGTTCGCACTTGGCATGTCCGCCAACCGACCGCGCCCGAGGTTCCTCTGCGCCGCCGATTACGCAGGCGCGCGCGCGCGTGCGTGTGTGTGTGTGTGTGCGTGTGTGTGTGTGTGTGCGTGTGTTTGTGTCGCCGCGCTCTTTGGGCCGGCCCGCGCGCGTCGCGCTCTCGCTCGACCTGCACTTCGCCGCTGCTCAGCTCGCGTGGCCGCGACGCTGGAAATTGCATTTGCGTGCGAGTGCTTCGCCCGGTTCTCCTCCCGCGCCCGCCTACCGCTGGGCCCCGGTGCTCGCGGGTCCAGGCCGCGGCAGCCCAGCCAGGGTCTCCAGCTGGTGTGTTCTCTGCGTTCGCTCCTGCGCGCGCCACCCAGTGGCGTGCGTCTCGGCCCGCGCATCCACTCAGACCGCGAGGTCAATTGTGTTTTGGCGATTTCGCGGACCGTTTTCGTTTTGATTTCGCTTTGCAGCGGAAGCGTGAGGATGACATAGTAAGGGGAAACGACAAAACGGAAACGGATAACACCTTTCAGCTCGAGCTTTGCATCCGTGTGCTACAGTGCAGGTATGGGTGCTCGGCTGTCTGCATCTCCGGTTTACCGGGCTCTTCCTTGCACGCGCGGCGCCTGATGTTTTTTGGCACTCGTGCTTGCCCAGCGCAGCCACCGACGTTTTCTCGACGCGATTCGCCCTGCCGTTGTCCACCGACCTGCTATTCCAGGTGGAACTAAACGCTGAGCGTGGCCCGCCTTAGTGTGTCGCCGCAGTGACGTCATTCGGCCGTTTGAGAAAAAGGTGCGTGTGCGTGTGCGTGTGCGTGTGCGTGTGCGTGTGCGTGTGCGTGTGCGTGTGCGTGTGCGTGCGCGTGCGCGCGCGCGTGCGTGCGTGCGTGCGTGCGTGCGTGCGTGCGTGCGTGCGTGCGTGTGTGTGTGTGTGTGTGTGTGTGCGTTTGCGCGTGTGCGCGTGTGCGCGTGTGCGCGTGTGTGCGTGTGTGCGTGTGTGCGTGTGTGCGTGTGTGCGTGTGTGCGTGTGCGTGTGCGTGTGCGTGTGCGTGTGCGTGTGCGTGTGCGTGTGCGCGCGTGCGCGCGCGCGTGCGTGCGTGCGTGCGTGCGTGCGTGTGCGTGTGCGTGCGTGCGTGCGTGCGTGCGTGTGTGTGTGTGTGTGTGCGTGTGCGTGCGTGCGTGCGTGCGTGCGTGCGTGCGTGCGTGCGTGCGTGCGTGTGTGTGTGTGTGTGTGTGTGTGTGTGTGTGTGTGTGTGTGTGTGTGCGCGTGTGCGTGTGCGTGTGCGTGTGCGTGTGCGTGTGCGTGCGTGCGTGCGTGGGTGTGTGTACTGGGGGGGGCGTCGCTGTGGTCGTCGTCGGCCTCTGTGTCGGCGTTTCCTGTGGCCTACGTTGCGAGGAGGTGATGACGGAGCACACGAATGGGATCCTCAAGAGATTCGGGAACGTCCTCACCAGCTTGAAACCCACACGGGAGATACGGTGGCAGGATCTGATTGTTTGGCGCGTGCTTGCGTTCATGTTGTTTGCAACGCAGTTTTCCAGTGGGCGCGCCGAATTTCGACCGCGTAGAGAGCGACTTTCGTCAGAGTGTGATGTGATGTGATGTGAACTTGGGCAGTCTATTTTCAGGTGCCTTCGGCCCATCCAGCCCCCGTGTTTGGTTCGTGTGGCCAGGACGCATGTGGCTTTGGCTTCCGAGGGCTCACGATGTGGCGAGGAGGGACATCACGAGCTGGAGCAGCTGAAGACCATAACTTATTGAATCGCTTCGCTCATTCCGCCGGCCCGTGATATGGCATCGCTGGTTTTTGTCTGTGTGTTCGTTGCCCATGTTGCGCTCTTGGGGGCGGGTGTCGTTCGGACGCGTTGCGTGGGGAGTTTTGATGGTGAAGCAGTTCCCTGGGGGTCGTCTCTCGATGGGGCGAAATAGAGTCGTCGTCAAGATGCTTCTTTGGGGGGCCTCTTGGGGTCTGTTGAGAGGCCGTTCGGGGGCGCCTGGGAGACATGTTTGAAGCCTTCTGGGGCTTCTTTTGGGCCTCCTGGGAGTCTCCTGGGGCCTCTTGGCGACATCTTGGGGCCTCTTGGAGGCCTCTTGGGGCCTCTTTGGGACCTCCTGGGCGCCTTCTGGGACGGAGGGCTCCATTTTTGAGTTCTCGGTATCCCTCCTGAGTCCCTCTTGGGCCCGTCTTGGGGCCTCTTGGTCCGTCTTGGGCGGCACTTGGGCCGTCTTGAGGGCTCTCTTGGGTCGTTTCGGCGCCGTCTTGGGAGCTTCGTGGGCCGTCTTGGAGCGGTCTTGGGGGCCTCTTGGGCCGTCTTGGAGCGTCCGGAAGCCGAAAAAGCCAGAACACAAAAAACATAGAAAAAACCAATGAAAATCAACGATTTTGGCCTCTTGGGGCTCTCTTCGGAGGCCTCTTGGAAGGCTCTTGGGGCGTCTTGGAGGCCTCTTGGGCTGTCTTGGGGGCCTTTTGGGCCGTCTTGGGGTCATCTTCGGCGTCTTCGAGCGCTCTTTGGGCGTCTCGGGGGCCTCTTGGGCAGTCTTGGGGGCCTCTTGGGGCACTCTGAGCGCGCTCTGGGGAGCCTGAGAGGCCGCACCCAGAAGGAAAACCATCTCTGAGTAGACTTGGTCGGGCGGCGGTCGGGCGGCGACCGGGCGTTGGTCGGGGTACTTTTCGCCGGGGGACCCCCAGGGGCCGCCCCGCGCGCGCGAACTAGAAATACTGTTAATACTGTTAACCAGTTACCAGAGATCTTAGCACGCCCTAGCCCGTTGGGCCGGCGAATTATCAGCCTTCTTCCTGTGGATCAGCACGGGGGGAAGTGAGAAGGAGAATGCCCTCTCCACAAAACACCTCTCGGAAGGCGCGAGGTCTTCTGAGAAGTCCCGCCGCCTTGTGAGAGGGGCTTCTCGTTCTCGCTTCCCCCCCTCGCTCGCCGCGGAGTGAAGCCCCCGCGGAGGGCTCCTGGAGCCGTGGCTGGGGATGCTGCCTGCTCCTGAGATGTGGGGTTCAAGGACTTCACGCTCGGAACGTACTCCTCTCCTCTTCCGCACGTGTCTTCTCCTCCCTCGCTTTCTGTGCCCAATTCGGCCCCGTCGCCGCTGCGACAAAGAAATTCTTGAGACGTGTCTTGGGATGTGGGTCTTTCAGGAACTCGAAGCCTCCCGACGTTCCTCCGAGGCCTCTTTGGGTGTGATGGGGGACGAGGTCGAGGAGGAGGAGGCGGCGCAGGAATAAGAGGAGTAGGGCGACGATGACGGGGCCTTGGGCGGATCTGTGAACGCATTCACCGACAAGCCACGGGCGCGACCACGCCGGTCGTTGAAAGCAGATATTCTTGGACATCCAGATCCAAATCATCATTTCAAGCGTCTTCCCTCTTGCCTCATCTTCAGGGGGCAGTCCGAAGTCAAATTTGCTTCCAGAGCCTTTCTGCTCAATGGTTCGATCGACTTCTTCCGACCGGCGGCTCCGGGTCACCCATACCCCATAGGGCTCGAGCTAAACGGTCTGTTGGCGGTTTCGTGGGTTGTTTTCGCTTTGATGTCGGTCCGCAGCAGAGGCAGAACGAGACCAGAACGAAGGATCACGAAAGCACAACGCAAACGAACACAAAAACGAACCAAAACAAAAGGCAAACCACAACAATACGAAAATGAGAGCGGAAGGCACACGAAACCGAAAAACTCGAGCCCTCACAACCCACAGGGGGGGGGGACAGGGAGGGCGTCCTCCTTCTCCTCCTCCTCCTCCTCCTCCTCCTCCTCCTCCTCCTCCTCCTCCTCCTCCTCCTCCTCCTCCTCGTCCTCCTCCTCGTCCTCGTCCTCCTCCTCCTCCTCCTCCTCCTCCTCCTCCTCCTCCTCCTCTCCCCTCCTCCGCGGCGCCGCGCGGCCTCGTGCCCGAGGAGCTGCCCTCTTTTTTGGGGCGGCGGCGCCGTCGTGTGGCCGCGCTGCGCCTCCCCATCACCCGTGGCGCGCGCGCCCTCCCCAGAGGCCCGCGGGAGGCCCCCGAGGAGGGCCCCCCCCCCGAGGCCCGCGGGAGGCCCGCGGGAGGCCCAAGGCCCAGGGCGTCCAAAGACTTGGGGCCTCGATCCTCGAGCGCACGTTTTTCTCTCCAGGGTTCGAGCTGTAAGCCGTGCTCGCGCGATTGCGTGGACCGTTGTCGTTCCGATCCCAGTCTGCACGGAATCTGAGAGGCGGAACGAAGACAGGACGATGGAAAACGAAAACAAAACGAAAACGGACAATCTCCTGCCCTCGCCTTTGGTGGAGTGGGCGCGCCGACAGTGGGACAGCAGACCAGGCGCTGCCGGTGCAGCTGGCGAAAGGGCCTTTTGCGCGACGCCCCCGCACCGACCCCACACTCCCCAGGAGGATCCAGACGCCACCATGGCGACCGTAATTGAACCAGAGCACACAGGGATGGGCGGGCGGGCTTCAAGTGCCTCGCCTGTCCTGGCCCAGACCGCGAGGCCAGAACAGGGCCCCAACCTGGGAGGGAAACCTGAAGCCCTGTCCCTTAGGGCCAGTTCGAGCCAGATACTTGCTACCCCGCCTCCGCGCCAGGGGAAAATTTGAAGCCTCCGCGCCAAGCGGATTGTGGAACTCTGCGAGACGCTTGCCAGTGGGAGCTACCCAAGCCATGCGGCCCCTGACACAACGAAAACCGTGAAACCCATGAACCAGAAGGGTTACATGAATCGAAGAAACCAGTCTCAGTTGCAGATTTCCACCCCTGCGAAAATTCCCATTCAGGGGGTCTGAGAACATTGTTTAGCTCGAGCCCTGCTTCGAGCCTCGCTCCACGAACGCATTGTTTCTCTCAGGGTCCAGGCAAAAATTGCAGTGGCTGCGGCGCGCCCCGTTCGAGGCGGTTCACGGGCCACTATTGCTTACGGTTCGGGTGCGCGTTGCGTTGATGTTGCCCCTCGCCATGCATTGTTCTCTAACTGTTGCTTGCTAATTGCCTGCTTTGCAGACCTGGCGAGCCGCCTTCAGGCGCGCGCTAGGAGATTTGTCTTTCGAAATCAAGAAATTACTGTTTGTAATTCAAGAGTCCGAAGACTGCGATCCTCGGGGGGGGGAGAAGGAGAGAGGGATATTTTAGAGGAGGCTCTGCATTCGTACAGGGCGCTTTTCCTGGCAGCCTCATCCGGCCAGAAGTCTAAACGCGGGCGCCACGAGCTTGGGGCCGGACACTTCGGAGCGATTGCCCCCGCGCCGCCGAGAATAACGGGCAACCTTGCGACGCCCAGAAGCCCGCCCACGGTTGCAGATTAGGCGGGGCGCGCTTGCCCGCGCGGCAACCTCGGCGCCAATGAGCCCCGTGCCCGGGAGCAGTCACATACCAGAGACGCGCGCGTGCGCTTCTTCGCCCTGGGACCTGCGCGCGTGCTGGCCTGGCGCAACGGACGCTGAACTCCCCATCCCAGACTCTTCTTTCTCTCACCCCCCCCAAGTAGGGGGAGGGGAGGGCTCGCGCGCCGCCTCGACGAGAGAAGCCGGGGCCCGCCGAGCCCTTGCAGGAACGGAAGGAAATTGCGAGTGATGTCCGCTGCGAGCGAGGCCCCTTGCCGAAAGAGGCAGCCGCGGGCGCGGCGGGAAGGGCCCGGCGCGCCTCGCGATGCGAGGCCGTCTGCAGAACGGCGCCCCGCCCGCCCCCCAGGAGCCGAGGGGCTCTCCGACCCCTCCATCCGCGCCCCCCCCGCTTCAGCGATTCTTTGCTCGATGCTATTCCCGGCTGTCCGAGGCCGGGAGTTCGCCGTCCATTCGAGCGCATTCCCGCGCAAGTAACAACGCATCCTCGCGCTGTCACGCCGGCGCCCGCGCGGCGCCCCGGGGCGCGTTCATGGGGGCCGCAAGTTGCCATCGCCCGCGCACTTGGCTATAGACTCGGCGCATCTTGCGATGGATCTCACTGCAACCTCGCCACGCCCAGGGGCCCATTCACGAGGGCAGCTTTTGGGCTCTCGCGCGCTTTTGCTGCGATCTTGCGCCGTTGTTGCCCCCATTGCGCCCGCGCTGAGCTCGGCGCGCCCCGGCGCTGAGCTCCGCCGGCAACCCTGCGACATCTAGGGGCCCGCCCATGGGAACCATCATTGCATTCATCGGAATGCACGATGGGCTTCCGCGCGTTCTTGCGCAAGTTGCCCGGCGACCTTCGGGCGCCCGGGGGCCCGGGCGCGTTCCCGCATCATTCCCCACGTTGGCTTGCCTAAGGGGGTCTTACTTGGTTAACGCTCGGTGCCTTCGATTGTTTCTTTGCCCGCCCCCCGGAGTTTCCTCGAGTTCCTCGGGTTCCTCGGCCTCTAATCGTCGCGCTGCCCGCTCCTCGGAGTTTCCTCGGGCCCCCCGGGGCAATGCCAAGCGGCGCCGTGCTGCGACCGCGCACTAGGAAGCTTTCCCCGAATGGGGGTCGCGCCGGGTTCATTCCTCCGGCAACCTCGCGACGCTCGGGGGCCCGCGAGTGGGCGCGACCGTTCTCTCAT